CAATAACGATTGGTATTATCGTATATATGTTTATTATGTACACATTTTTAATGATTTTATTTTCCAGGACTCCAAGATTACTGCAGATGGGGACTGCAGCCAAGAAATTAAAAGACGTTTGCTCCTGGGGAGGAAAGCTATGGCAAGTCTAGATAGCTTACTAAAAAGCAAAGACATCACCCTGCCAACAAAAGTGCGTATAGTCAAGGTTTCCCAGTTGCAATGGATGGCTGTGAAAGTTGGACCATAAGGAAGGCTGAGCGCCAAAGAATGGAGGCCTTTGAACTCCGATGCTGGAGAAGACTCCTGCGAGTCCCTTGGACTGCAAGGCCATCAAACTGGTCAGTCCTAGAGGAGATCAACCCTGACTGCTCTTTAGAAGGCCAGATCCTGAAGAGGAAACTCAAATACTTCGGCCACCTAATGAGAAGGAAGGACTCCCTGGAGAAGAGCCTAATGCTGGGAACGATGGAGGGCAAAAGAAGAAGGGGACGGCAGAGAACGAGGTGGCTGGATGGAGTCACTGAAGCAGTCAGCGTGAGCTTAAATGCACTCCGGAGGATGGTAGAGGACAGGAAGGCCTGGAGGAACGTTGTCCATGGGGTCGCGATGAGTCGGACACAACTTCACAACTAACAACAACAACAACAAAATAATGATTATGATGATGTTTATATTTTAACACTTTGGACACCTAGAAACCACACTGTTCAACATAGAAGTGGAACTTGGGATATAAAACAATAAAAAGAAATATTTATACCTGGAAAAAACACAAAACAAAAGAAAAACCAAGAAAGTCCAGTGGCCTCTTGAAAAAGCACCCTTGGGGGGCAAGATCGTTGTGGGGTTTTTTTGTCTCGGCAGCCCAGCCCGTTCCACAATGCTCCTTCTGACTTCCATCCTGCTCCCCTTATGCAGCAGCCTCCTGCGTAAGCTGCACCGTGACTCACGTCCTCAGTTTCCCACAGCCGAGCTGGGAAGAGCCAGAGCCCCTGAGTCACTTGCAGTTCCCAATTGCGAGGAGAAACGCACAATCATCTCAGTAGGACATCGGTGAGCTCAAACCCCAGCAGCGACAAGTTCAAGCAGGATCCCCCTGCTGCGGGAAGAGGAGGGAAAAGTCCATGGAGGAACAGAAGAAGCTTCAAAGTCTCAGCAGCCCACGTTGCTTCCCCTCTTCCCTAAAACCAGGATTTGCAAGAGGTTAAGGGAATCCGTAATCCAGCCCCACCCACCCACGGATGCTGCAGGGAAATGATTTCAGCCAGCGGTGACCACATATTTGGAACACCCAAGAAATAAAACAGATCTTGGTTTGCTTGTTGTCCCTCATCCCGGTATTCCCGGCGACCTCTGATTTCCCTGAAGGCTCAAAGCTCTGGAACTGACTGGTGGGTGGTGGGTGGTGGGAGTTGAAAAAGTTGGGAATACCGATGGAAGAGGGACTCTCAGGGTTAAACGGGAGGGTCCTTGGTGGTCTCTGAGGTTGGTGGTTTTCTTGTGTAGACGTTTCACTACCCAAGTAGGTCACATCATCAGTGCAAAGAAGAAGGGAGTGGGGTTTGAAGGGGGGAGGAGGAGGAGGAGGGGAAAGAGGAGGTGGGGGGAGGAGGAGGATGGTTGTGAGGTCTTTGGTACTCTTTGAGCTTGGTTGTTTTCTTGCAAACATTTCATTACCCAAGTAGGTAACATCATCAGTGCAAAGAAGAAGGGAGTGGGGTTTGGAGGAAGGAGGAGGAGGATTGTAAGATCTTTGGTGCTCTCTGAATTTAGTGGTTTTCTTCCAGACATTTCATTACCAAACTAGGTAAGATCATCAGTGCTAGCAGGGAGTGGGGTTTGAGGGAAGGAGAGAGGGAAGTGGATAGGAGGAGTAGGAGAAAGGGGAGGAGAGGGAAGCGGAGAAGAAGAGAGAGGAGGAGGGGGAGGAGGAGAGGAAAAGGGAGAAGAGGGAAGGGGAGAGGGGAGAGGAGAAGGAGAGAGGGAAGGAGAGAGAAGTGGAGGGGAGACGGGAAGGGAGGGAAGGAGAAGGAAGACGGAAAGAGATGGATTGTCGTTGTAAAATTGGGTGAAATATGGTATATGAGAAAGAGACGAGTAATTTCTTTTTACTTGATGGTTATATAATCGACACCATAACGGAAGACAATATATGTTATAATATGATGGATGTTATCGCATATCTGTTTATATGTTACTACTGTACATATTTACTACTACATATGTTATATGTTACTGCATATTTGTTAATATAGATATGACTATAATGAGGACGATGTTTGTACGTTCGCATGTTAACAACTTGGACACCTAGAGAGCAGACTGCTCAACACAGAAAGGAAACGTATGATATAAAACAATAAAAAATATTTCTCCCCAAAAAAGCGGGGGAGTGGGGTTTGCAGGGAGGAGGAGGAGGACTGTAAGTCCTTTGGTGCTCTCTGAATTTAGTGGTTTTCTTGCAGACACTTCATTACCAAACTAGATAACATCATCAGTGCTAAAAGAGAGTGGAGGAGGAGGAGGGATGCTGCAACGGTCGCCAAGTGTGAACTAAACGAATGGTTGTAAATCAAGAACTTACCTGTAGCCCCTATAAACGGGCTTGAAATCCAAGGACGCCCCCCCCTCTACATCCATGGACTGTTATTCCTTCCTCAGCCACCAGGGGGCTCCCATTCCAAAACCGCCGGAGACAGCACCACCCCCTTTAATCCGGTTCTGGGGGGAATCCCGTTCTCCGCGCTCCGCCCTTCCCACCACCAGCCCCACGTCATTTGCAGCCTCGATCGCGCTATTCCTGCCCCCTTCCTCTCCCCGGAAAGAACCGGACGGTCTGGCATCCGTCGGCGAGTGTCTTCCCCTCGTCCTTTCCCCCCCCCCCCCCACCCCCCCCTCTCCCGATTATGGGGAAGGGAAAAGAGCCAGATTCCCACGTCAACCCCCCCCCCCAGTTGCAGATCTGGCCTCGGGCATCTTCCCCGCAGGCAGGTCGCTTGTTGGAGAAGCAAGGATCAGGCGCTGGGGTTGCCAGCATCTGGGACAGAAAAGGGTCAGAAAAGGGGCGAGAATGGCATGCATGCACGAATGAGTAAACAAACAAACAAACAAGTAAATAAATAAATAAATAAATATGGAAGTAAAGAAGTATAAAAAAATAAGTATCAATAACTAAATAAATAAGTAAAAGTACAAATAAGTAAATAAATAAGTATCAATAAATATATGTATAAATAAGTCAATATGGAAGTAAAGCAGTATAAAAACTAGGTATAAATAAATAAGTGAATAAATAACTATACATAAATATGTATGAATGAATGAATGAATAAATAAATAACTATGGAAGTAAAGAAGTATAAAAATAAGTATCAATAAGTAAATAAAGAAGTAAAGTATAAAGAAGTAAATGAAGTAAAAAATAAGTATCAATAAATATGTATAAATAAATAAATAGAGAAGTAAAGCAGTATAAAAACTAAGAATAAGATAGATAGATAGATAGATAGATAGATAGATAGATAGATAGATAGATAGATAGATAGATAGATGGCATTGGAAAAGCCGACCCCCCAAAATTGGCAGCGGACAACTTCCACGTTGCAACCCCCGAGTTGCAAACGTGCTGGGCGGTTTTGACTGAGAACCCAGCGCACCCACCCGCCCACGCAAAGACACACACACACATTCATTCACATAGGAACGCACCCTCCTGCCCTGATCTCCCAATCGTCCGCGATCGTCTCGCCCCGGGGACCTGTCACACCTGCCCTACCCTGCCCCGGGGAAGCAGGCGCGCGACCCTCAACGGGTGGAGAGGGGCTCCCCTGCGCCTCTCAGGTCGAGCAGCCGGAGACCCCCCCCCACCCTTCCACTACCCCACCCTACCGCACCCCGACGCCTTGCAAGCTGCTTCGGCCCTACCGGTTCGCTGCAAAAGGCAGCGGGGCCAAGCCAGCGGGGGGTGGGGAGGGGGGTGGGGGGGGGGATCGTTCAACGGGGCCAAAAGTCCACCGCGGGATCCTAGGGCGGCGTTTCCCAGCCAAGCTCGCCTGCCTCTGCTCTACCTGGAGCGTTTGGCGAGATGCCCGGGCACACCTGGCAGCCTTGAGCCCCGCGCCCCGGGCGATGGGGCTTCCCTCTGCTCTGGAAGCGGCCGGGAAGGGCCGAGGCAGGCGGCCAGGAGGAGGCGGAGGAGGCGGAGGAGGAGGAGGGGCTGGAGGCGGAACTCCCCCGGGGAAGGGAGGCCGGTAAGAGCCGCTCCGTGAAAGTCCCTCTAATTCAGCTGAGCGCTCGGGGAAGTCCCGGTTTCCTTCCTCCAACCTCCCAGCCTGGGCGAAGCGGCTGGCACCGCTGCCGTCGGCTCGTGGGAGACCCCCGGCTCGGCCCACCGACCCTCCTACCGGGAGGAGGGGGGGGCAGCTTCTGCACGACCCGCCCTCTTTCCCCCCCCCTTCATTCTTTCCCACCTCCCTTCCTCCTTTCCTCCTTCCCTCCTTCCTCCGAGCGAGCAAAAGGATGACTTGGCAAAGGCAGAGGCGAGACGGTCGGGAGGCGTCGGACGGGTGACTCCCTTCGCAGGAATCCGGGCGAGGGAATCCAACGAGGTGCCGGGAGAGAAGAAGCTTGGAAGAGGCATCCGGGACCCCCCACTCACCCACCCACCCATCCTCCACTGCTCCATTGCAGCAGATCCAGGACCCACCGGAAAGAGAGAGGGGGGGGGGAGCTGCCCACTGTGGGCTCCCCTGGAAAGGTGCTAACTCTCGGGCGCATGGTTTCTTGGAGTGGGGGGGAGCCCACCTAGGAAATCAGCACCCCGAGGGGGTCGTGAGTTGGACCACCGAGCCGCGATGCTCGGAGAAGGAGGAGGACGCTGCTGTCCCATTCTTCTTCTTCCCATCAGCTGAAAACCGTGCAGGGGGTTGCTTGAAGTGGGCAGACTTTTTTGGGGGGGGGGCGAGAAGAAGGGGGAGACCCGGAGCTGGAGAGCGCAGAGAGAGGTCGGCCTTGCAAAGATGGGGGGGGTTGAGAGGCGGCTGCTCGCCAACCCCCACCTGCCTCTAGGAGGAGGAACCTGAATCTAGAAGCTGAAGGAACCTGGGACAGGTAAACTTTGCGGCTCACCTATTTAACCGTAACAAGAGTCGGAAGGGAACTTTGGAGGCCATCTAACCCAACCCCCTGCTCAGGCAGGAGACCTCTCCTAGGGATTCGAACCGCCCGACCTTTTCTGATCTGACAAGCTCAACAGTCTGAGCCACCTAGCCAAGGTGGTTCACCTCTTTGAACCGGGCATCCAGGAAGATGGCTGGAGAGTTTCCGGTGGACCTGCGTACCTGGCGGAAAGACGGGGGCCAAGACAAGCACCCCCCCTCCTCGCACGGAGACCCTCCTCTGATTCCCTCGGGCCATCAGGTGCCCCGCTGTGTTTCTTCGGGAGCCACCGTGCTGCGGGAACCTGTGGCCAGAGACACTTCAATGGGTCAGCCTGAGCCCCGACCGAGGACTCGAGATGCAGAGTCCCCCAAAGGTGGGCTGCAGGAGGAGAAGAAGCCCGAGATGTATTTGCCTCTGAGAAAGCGCCGTTATGCCATGGAGGGGGCAAACGGGGACACGCCGGGACCTCTGGCTGGCAAAGTCCCCAAGACAGAGAGTGGGCAGGATGGGAACGGTGCCCGGTCACCCCACTGCAATGGCTACCACCCTTGTTATGTCTCCATGCCCTACCCCAGGGTACCAGTCTCCTGTTATCAAGGTAAGGACACAGCACCTCTTTGAAATGAAAACCTTCTCTTCTTTTCTTCTTCTTCTTCTTCCTTCCTTCCTTCCTTCCTTCCCTTTTCTCCCCCTAATTTTTATCCTGCCGGTTTCCTTCTCGCCGTGTCCCCCCCCCCCACCCCTCACCCACCAATGCTTCAGGGCAGCTTCTCTTTTTTTCTGGTACCCCTTAGGAACAACAGACCACACATCCAATCTCTTTATGTATTTCATGCAATCTATTATAGCTGGATTTGGGGTGGCTTATCATAAATGCTAGGAAACTGAAACAATTCAACATATTATAGGCAACGACATAGAATAAGGACAGCCCAGGCTATAAAAAACCATTAAGAGAGAGACAGCCCACACCCCCCCCTCACAACCTAGGTTTTTCTTAGTTCTTATTTTACCTGGGGTAAGGAGGGTTAAGTAAATAAATGAGTGGAGGTGATCTGCTTTAATTATACCTAAACCCACCCACCCACCCAATATTTCCTCTGGGAGATAGGCTGGCAGCGGACGAGAGAGGGAGGGAAAAGGAGGGAGAGAGGGAGAGAGGAAGAAGAGAGGGAGAGGGGAGAAAGAGGGGGAGACAGAGAGGGAGAGGGTGGAGGGAGGGAAAGACAGTGATAGAGAAAGGGGGAGAAAGGAGGGAGGAGAGAGTGTGGGAAAGAGAAGGAGAGGGGGAGAGAAACAGGGAGAAAGGGGGAGAGAGAGGTGGGAGAAGCAGAGAGGGAGGGGGAGGGGAGAAGGAGGAAGAGGGGGAGGATGGAGAGAGAGAGAGAAAGGGGGAGAGATGGGGAGAGGGGAGAGAGGGAGGGAAAGAGTGATAGAGAAAGGGGGAGAAAGGAGGGAGGAAAGAGGGTGGGAGAGAGAGGGAGGAGGGGGAGGGAGAAAGGGGGAGGGGGAGAGAGACAGAGAGATTGCCCTGTAAAAATACTTTTTTTAAAAAAAATGCATTTCTTGCGAGAGAGGTTGCTATCAATCAACCAGGACTTCACAAAGATGCCTCTGGTGCCTCCTGAGCCCACAGCAGTTCCTCAGGCTTCCCCGATCGGGGGCGGGGGGGTGGGGCAGGGGAAGAGGGGCAGGTGGTCTCAGTGGGGTGGATATTAGGAACGGCGGGACCATCCTCAACCCCTTCCCCAGATGAAATGACATCAAGGAAAGCTCCTAGGCTGATCCTCCATTCTCCCTTGCCGCTTGCGACGGCTTGGTTCTCTTCCCCCCATGGTCCTCGCTTAAGCGACTGCAACCGAGAGCGGCAGCTCTGTGGCCGAGGGACGAGGTCGTAAAACTGAAACGACCCGTGACCGCGCCCGATTTATGACCTCAGTTCTGCTGTGGTGATTAAAGCGAATCACCTGCCGTTCTTCGGCATGATGTGAGCAGAAACTGGCAACTTCCTGCTGGCTTCCCCATTGCTGAGACGCCCCGTAAGTTCAAGGATTGGTCATAAAACTACCTTTTCAGCATCAAAAGCAGGGGACTATTTGGAGCTCAGGGTTGAATCGTGGAGTCATTGATGCTCTTTTGTTTGCTAATAGACCAGTGATGGCTAACCTTTTTGCCATCGCGTGCCAGGAACGGGGGGCCCATAATTCTATGTGCCCAGCGTGTGAGACACCCCCCTCCCCCCCACTCCTGGAACGTGATGGCATGGTGGTCCCGGTAGGCCTGTTTTCCTCTCTCCCCAGGCACCAGAGCCTTTCTAGGAGCTTGGGGAGGACAAAAACAGCCTCCCCCCACCCGCTGAGGCCCTCCGGAAGCAGAAAACTTTCTGTTTCCCTACTTCCGGTGGGCCCAGAAGGCCCAAAAATCAGCTGGCTGGCGCGCATATGCATGCCGGAGCTGAGCTCACGTGCCCACCAATATGGCTACGCGTGCCATAGGTTCACCATCATGGTTATAGATGTTTCATTACCCTACTAGGTAATATCATCAGTTCTAGAAGGGAGTGGAGTTTATTTATTTATTTATTTGTTTATTATATTTCTATACCGCCTTTCTCCCGTAGGACTCAAGGCGGTGTACAGTCAAGAAAAAATATAGATACACAAACATCATAAAATTGCTAATTAAAATTATTATTATAACATAGTTTGGCCCAATTAAATAGAACCCAAAATTAGATAACATAATAGGGTTTGCTCTCTGTTTATTTATATATATAAGTGGCTCGCTCTGTCAGCGTTGGAGGTAGTGTTCTTGGCGGTTCCTTAATTAGGCTGTTTTCACACTAAGTTCAAACAGTCGCTAAACAGGGCAGTTGTTAACCGAGGACTCCGTGTATTTTATCCAAGGTGCATAGGCAGGTATGGTAGATAGTAACGATGGTTTCTCTTCCGTTCTGCGTTACATTGAATATGCCCAACGTAGACACCCCATACTGGTTCAAGAGGTCGGACACCCAACGGAAATTTGAAACTTATAGGAATGGGAGGAAGGACATCAACTGTCCTCGGGGGGCAGTTGAGCCAAATCTAGATGCAGTTTGGAGGCCTCTGCCCCTTTCTGTGGATACATCCCTGGCGTTACTTCCTAAGTGAAGCCAAGAGCTGCCTTGACCAAGTGAGAAGCTGGTTCCATCTCTGGGTTGAGGAGAATCAAAGATGACCTGGCCAGAAACCAGGTGGCTGGGAGTTCTAGTCCCAGCCTTAGGCATGAAACCTGGCTGGGTGACTTTGGACCCAATCACCAGGAGACGGTGAGCTCTAATCCTGCCTCAAGCGTGAAAGCCAACTAGGTGACTTTGGATAAATCACCAGGAGATGGTGAGTTCTAGTCCCGTCTCAAGCATGAAAGCCGGCTGAATCAGGGGTGAAATGCTCCCGGTTCGGACCGGTTTGGCCTATCCGGTAACGATCGTGGCGGTTGGTTCGGAGAACTGGTAGCGATGGCGGCGCCTCCTGGTTGTTGTTACTTCCTGGTTTTAACCAGGAAGTAATGTGGTTTTTTTTACCCTCTGAGCATGTGCAGAAGATTTTGTGCACGCGCAGAGGGTCCACGCGTGCATGTGACACGCATGAGCGAAGAAAGCATGCGCGCGCGGTGCATGTACTTCCAAACCGGTAAGGAAGGTAAGTAGATTTCACCCCTGGGCTGAATGACTTTGGACCAATCACCAGGAGATGGTGAGTTCTAGTCCAGCCTTAGGCATGAAAGCCGGCTGGGTGACTTTAAGCAGATTCCTCTCTCAGCCCAACCAGCCTCACAGGGTTGTTGTTGAGGACAAGCTAGAAGAAGGAAGGTGTGTTGGAAATGTTCTGAGCCTTGAATGATTTATCAAAATAATTAAGGCAGGACAGAAGTAAACAAACAAACAAACAAACAAACTTTGCTTCTCATTGTAAATCTCCTCTCCCCTCTTTCCTTTCGAATCCTCAGGTCTGGCCAGCCCCTTCTTGAACCCAGAGCTCCCTCCCCTTTTGCAACCTTTGACGGGGCCATCGCTGCTGGGAATCCTGCCGACTTATTCCTTGATGCCCCCAGCAGAAACCCAGCTGGCTTTGAACATTGCCACGGCAACGCAACAAGATGAAGATGGAGACACGTAAGAGGAGAATTTTTTTTTTTTTGCAGGGGGAAATCCAGAAGGAACCGGGCAGCGAGAAGAAAAGCCCGTGGGTTTAAGTCCTGGAAAACCACATTTTTGTCAAGGAAGATAGATAGAAAAATAGAGATAGATAGATAGATAGATAGATAGATAGATAGATAGATAGATAGATAGATAGATGGATGATAGGTAGGTAAGTAGATGATAGATAGATAGATAGATAGATAGATAGATAGATAGATAGATAGATAGATAGAAAGAAAGAAGAAAGAAAGAAGGAAGGAAGGAAGGAAGGAAGGAAGAAAGAAAGAAAGAAAGAAAGAAAGAAAGAAAGAAAGAAAGAAAGAAAGAAAGAAAGAAAGAAAGAAAGAAAGAAAGATGGATAGATGGATGGATGGAGAGAGAGAGAGAGAGAGAGATAAAGATAGATGATAGATAGATAGATAGATAGATAGATAGATAGATAGATAGATAGATAGACCATGTTTCTCCAAAAATAAGACCGGGTCTTATATTAATTTTTGCTCCAAAAGATGCATTAGGGCTTATTTTCTGGTTAGGGCTTATTTTGGAGGAAATACGGTACTAAATGCATCCATCTGGCTGACAATCTTAACTGGAGCTTATTTTGGGGGTAGGGTTTATATTACGAGCATCCTGAAAAATCAGGACTTATTTTCCGGTTGGGTCTTATTTTCGGGGAAACAGGGTAAATGGATGGATGGATGGATGGATACAGATAAAGATACAGATACAGATACAGATACAGATACAGATACATTAACAGACTTGGAAGGGACCTTGTAGGTCATCTAGTCCAACCCCGTCCATCAGACCCTACACCATTTCTGACAGGTGGCTGTTCACTCTGTTCTTGAAACCTTCCAGTGATGAAGCTCCCACAACTTCTAGGCAAGCTGTTCCATTGGTTGAAACAGAGAGGGAGGGAAGGAGGGAGGGAGAGAGAGAGAGAGAGAGAGAGGGAGAGAGAGAGAGAGAGAGAGGGAGGGAGGGAGGGAGGGAGGGAAGGATCTTAAAAGTTTCAGGGTTCATGGCCTTACGGGTGAAATTCTGGAGATAAATTTAATTGTAATTGTGCTTTTAGCTGGATAAATACACGGGTAGTCCTTGACTTACAACACTTGTTTAATGACCATTCCAATTTTTAATGGCACTGAAAAAGCCACTTACGATTGGTCCTCACACTTGTGACCATCCCAGTTATAGTCGTAAGTCGAGGACTACCTGTAATTGGGCTGCGGGGGATATGCAACCCATTTTTCTGACTATTTCCACCTTTTACTATCTTCAATAAGTTAGTTCTCGACCTAGGACCCCAACTGAGCCCAACTCAGTTTCTGTTGTTAGGTGACTTGTGTTCCATTTTACGACCTTTCTTGCCGCTGTTGTTAGGCGAATCACTGCAATGAAGTTAGTAACTCAGCTGTTAAATGAATCTGGTGGACTTTGCTGGTCAGAAGGTCACATAAGGGGAATCACGTGACTCCAGGACCATCATAAATACGAGCCAGTTGCCAAGCGTTCGAATTTTGATCACGTGACGGTGGAGATGTTGCAGATGGTCATAAGTGTGAAAAATGCTCATAAGTCCCTTTTTTCAATGATGTTGTACCTTCGAATGGTCACTAAATGAAAAGTTGTAATTCAAGGTCTACCTGCACAGGTAGTTCTCGACTTACGACTTGATCACTGAGTGTCGGTTCGAAGTTATGACGAATGCCCTAAAAAGTTTCTTACGAAGATCTGTAATTCCAACTTCTGAGACAAACACACAACCACAAGCCACACAACTGCATTTTGGTCCCTCGGCAGCCGGCTCACATTTACAGTTGTTTGCCGCCCTCCGTGATTAGGTAATTGTGATTTTTTTGCTGGGAACTGGCAAATACTTTTGATTTCCTGACAAAAATCACCCCAGAGCAAACAACGGGTTTCCTTAACAGAGCCGTTGCATTCGACTTTACAACCTCTTCAAAAACGGTTGTAAAATAGGGACCCGGTTTTGCAATGATCTGCTGTACGACCGTCAGAACTTGCAATCGTAGTTATAGGGCTCAATTACGGTCGTAATTCCAGGACTACAGGTAGTCCTCAACTTACAACAAGCTCATTTAGTGACTGTTCAAAGTTAAAACGGCACTGAAGGGGAAAAAAAAGTGACTTAGGAGCATTTTTCACACTTAACAACCGCGGGAGCGTTCCCGTGATGACGCGATCAATATTCAGCATCAATATTCAGATGCTTGACAACTGACTTACGACGGTCACACTGATCCCCTTTTTGCGACCTTCCGATCAGCCGAGTCAATGGGGGAAGCCAAATTCCCTTAACAACCCTCTGACTGAATTTGACAACCAGCGGCAGGAGAAGTTGTAAAACTGAGGCCAAACTCTCTGAACAAATGTTTTTTTTTTATTTTTATTTTTTGTTTTTTGTTTTTTGTTTTTTTTAATTTGATTTATATGCCGCCCTTCTCCGGAGACTCAGGGCGGCTTACAATGCGTTAAGCAATAGCCTTCATCCTTTTGTATATTTATACAAAGTCAGCTTATTGCCCCCATAAACTGGGTCCTCATTTTACCCACCTTAGAAAAGATGGAAGGCTGAGTCGACCTTGAGCCTGGCAAGATTCGAACCTGCAGAAATTGCAGGCAGCTGTGTTAATAACAGGGTGCATTAAACCACTGTACTACCAAGACTCTTCATTTAGCACCAGACATTTAAGTCTCAGTTGCGGTCGTAAGGCGAGGACTAATCTGCTCTCTCCTGACCCTTCGCCTTGAGTGGGGCTGTTGTTGGAAACGGCACCCTTTCAGTAAATTTCAAGCTCTGCCCAACAAGCCAGCTTTGATCTATTTACAAATAAATAACCTGCAAGTTATATCCTCTCTTCGCTTCCTGTTCTGGGCCAAAAGCCACATTCAAAGCCAAGAGGGTGTTTTTTTTTTCCCCTTAATGCTTCTGCTATTGTTGCCCTGAGAACAGTTCCTGCTGCTTTTGAATCAAAGCGAGCTTAAGCTGGAAGGGGAAATCCCCCAGTTGTGCTGCAGCTGAATCTCTCTCTTACACACTCACACACACACACACACAAACCTGTTCCTCCCTAGCCGGCTGGTGGTTTTTTTTTTAATATTTTTTTTTCCCCTCCCTGCTACGTAACCCTTGGCAACTTTGCTCCTTTTACAGGAATGGGGCAAAGGGTGTTGGCTGGCCCCGAAGGCAAGGCGGGACATCTTCTCTTGCCAACACACAAACACACACACACATACACACAACACCCAAAGAGAGAGACACCCTTTTTCCTTCTCCTCCTGCCCTGCAGAATTGCAGAGGAAAATCTGGCCGCAAGGGAAGGTTCATGGTTGGCCATGGGAAGCAGAATTCCGGCGAAGCTTCGTGGAGGAGTGGTTGGTGGGGTTTGGGAGATGCTTGCCTTGGCTTGGCTTGGCTGCTCCGGTAAGGAAGCTGACTGCCTGCCTGCCTTCGTGGTGAGGCAGGAAGCAAAGGTCACAGCCAGCCGAGAGAGCCGGTGGTTCTTACTGGAAGGCTCTGCCTGGGGAGCCCTTCCCACTGCTATCAATGGGGCTCAGTTTCGCTTTATTGTAAACGGAGTGCCGGAGAGCTTTTGTGAAATCACACGATGCGATGCGGCATGCATGACCTTGGGAGAGAGAGAGAGCGCTATCCCACGCCCGGAAGTGTGGTTGGGGCCCTGAGGGCAGGGACTCATCTGTGAGCAAAACACATTTCAAAAGTGGAGGAGGAGGAGGAGGAGGAGGAAGATCCTCTCGGTTCGTTTCAGCTCCCCTTTGCAAAAGGAGGCGACTTTTTTTGACAGCTGTCTCAGCAGGCGAGACAGAACAGTGTTTTTTTTTTTCAACCTCAGCGCTTGTAGAGGCTTCGACTCCCAGAATTCCCCAGCCAGCAAGCACCCATGTCTTAAAAGCGTGGTGACGGGGGAAATTCTGGGAGTTGAAGTCCACACATCTTAAGAGCATGGTGATTAGGGAATTCTGGGAGTTGAAGTCAATGCGTTTAAAAGATGGTGGCTAGCTAGGGAATTCTGGGAATTGAAGTCCACACATCTTAAAGCTTGGTGATTAGGGAATTCTGGCATCTCGGCATTCCTGCCTGCCTGTATTGCCTGCCTGCCTGCCTGCCTCCATCCATCCATCCATCCATCCATCCACCCAATCTATCATCTGTCTGTCTGTCTGTCTGTCTGTCTATCTAATCTATCTATCTATCTATCTATCTATCTATCTATCTATCTATCTATCTATCTATCTATCTATCTATCTCTATCTATCTATCTATCTATCTATCTATCTATCTATCTATCTATCTTTTATCTATCTATCTATCTACTGTATCTATCTATCTATCTATCTATCTAATCTCTCTCTCTCTCTCATCTATCTACTGTATCTATCTATCTATCTAATCTCTCATCTATCAATCTAATATCTGTCTCATCTATCTATCTATCTATCTATCTCTCATCTATCTATCTATCTATCTATCTATCTATCTACTGTATCTATCTATCTATCTATCTATCTATCTACTGTATCTATCTATCTATCTGTCTATCTATCTATCTATCTATCTATCTATCTATCTATCTATCTATCTATGTCTGTTGTCTGTCTATCTAACATCTATCTATCACCTAATCAAGGAACCACCCCCACTGACACTAAACAGGGCAAGCCACTAGTACATAAACAGAGCAAACCCCACTCCTTTCTAGCACGGATGATGTTACCTAGTTGGGTAACCAGACGTCTGCAAGGAAACCGTCAAGCTCAGAGAGCACCGAGGACCCCACCCGTTAAGGTGAATGTCTAAAGAGCTTTGGGAGGGTCACTGAAAACGTCCTTTGCTCTCTTGTAGGCCACTCCACATTGCTGTAGCTCAGGGGAACCTGCTGGCCGCTCAGCATTTGGCGATCCTTTTCCACCATGGACAGCGGGACCTGGATATTTTCAACAACCTACGACAGGTTAGTGCAACGCAAGAAGAGAACGGTTGTGTAGGACGCTCCCTTTACAAAGGGATGAGTTGGGTTGGTTTGCAAGTGACAAACGGAGGGAGTTTTTCTAATCTGAGCCTCCAGTGTCAGGGAGTTTCTGGGCAGCTAAGGGACACGGTGGCTCAGTGGCTAAGACGCTGAGCTTGTCGATCGAAAAGGTCAGCAGTTCAGCGGTTCGAATCCCTAGTGCTACGGCGTAACGGGGTGAGCTCCCGTTCCTTGTCCCAACTTCTGCCAACCTAGCAGTTCGAAAGCACGTAAAAAAAAAAAAATCCAAGTAGAAAAATAGGGACCACCTTTGGTGGGAAGGGAACAGCGTTCCGTGCGCCTTTGGCGTTGAGTCATGCCAGCCACATGACCACGGAGACGTCTTCAGACAGCGCTGGCTCTTTGGCTTTGAAACGGAGATGAGCACCGCCCCCTAGAGTCAGGAACGATTATCACATATGTGCAAAGGGAACCTTTAAATTTACCCTTATGAAATATGAAAATAAATATAATATAAAACAGCAGTATAAATATGAATATAAGTATAAATATATATAAATATGCAGCTTAAATAATCAGACTTATTCGATCAATCAATTCTTAATGCTTAATATTTAGTATTCAATAGTTAATACTTATAATGCTTATAGTACTTAAATTATATATGATATAAAATCAAGAAAAGAAATATATATATATATATATAATATAGTGCTGTCCTAGCACGGGTGTGAGATATTTTGAACCTGGGATTTCCTTGCATGGAAAACGTTTTTGCACGCTGTAACCCTGATCTGCAACCTTTCCTGATCTAGGGAGGAAGGGCTCCTCAAAGTACATGAGCCAAACAGAAAGCCGCTGGTATTGATTTAAATAAAAACAACAAGTTTCTAGCCCTTAAGCCTGAGAAGATAGGCTTGAATGCACAGAAGCAGAGAGGCAGCTGAAGGAGATTTCTATTGTGGGGTGCGGCTTTGGCATACCGCTTGTTTCCTGGTGGTGCCCCACCCTTCAAGGAAAAGTTGCATCATAGCTTGTAGGTAAATTGAAGCCAGTGGGCTGAATTTCTGTAACACACTGCTTCCTCTGGGGCGGGACGGTGTTTTTCAAAACGGAAACTGGGAACCAGTGCAAGGAGGAAACTGGGACGTTGTTGGAGCAGGTAGAGGCAAGATCGGTGGAAGCTTGTCAGAAGGAGGTCCAATCTGGAAATTAAGAAGGAATTTCCTGATAATGAGAATTATTAAGCAGCCGAACAACTGGCCTCCCCACGTTGTGGGTGCTCCATCAAGAAAAGCTTTTCAAGAAAAGGATTTGTCCAGGATGGTATACAGATAGTCCTTGACTTACAACCGTTCGTTTAGTGACCATTCAGCGGCACTGAAAAAAGTGACGTATGACTGTTTTTCACACTTAACCACCACTGTGGCATCTCCATAGTCACGTGATCAAAATCCAGACCTTTGGCAACGGACTCGTACCTATGACGGTTGCAATGTCTTGTGGGGGGTGGTATATAATCCCCTTTTGTGTCCTCCCACGAGCCAAGTCAATCTGATTCACTTAATAACCGTGTTACTTACTCAACAATGGCCGTGAACTTAACTGGGGCGAGAAAAGCCGTACAACGGGAGGAATAACTCACGTCACGATTGCGTCACTTAGCGACAGAAGCGTTGGGGCTGGGTTGCGGTCGTAAGTTGAGGACTACCTGCAATTGGGCAGGGGTTGGAATAGGAGACCTCCAAGGTCCCTTTCGGCCCTATAATTCTGTGCTTCTATGACTGAGAGAGGGAAATCGGTTCTACACAAGTGACAGTAGATATTCTCAAAGCAGGAGCTGAGTAGGAATTAGGATTTCACCAGCAGAACTCAGTTGGTTGGGCAGGAAAGAGGTGGTTCTAGAGCAGATAGACTTGATTTACTCGACCATGCCTGGAGCTTTGTTTACCTCATTGCGACCACCATTTTGATTTCTTTGACATTTCCCTAAAGCTTTGATTGCCTCATTGCAACCACCATTTTGACTTATTTGACCCATAGCTGCCGCTTTGGTTGCCTCATTGCGCCTGCCATTTTGATTTCTTTGACCCTTCCCTTCATTGCGACCACCATTTTGACTTCTTTGACCCTTCCCTAAAGCTTTGATTGCCTCATTGCGACCGCATTTTGATTTCTTTGACCCTTCCCTGGAGCTTTGATTGCCTCATTTTGCGACCGCCATTTTGACTTCTTTGACCCTTCCCTAAAGCTTTGATTGCCTCATTGCGACTGCCATTTTGATTTCTTTGACCCTTCCCTAAAGCTTTGATTGCCTCATTGGGACCGCCATTTTGACTTCTTTGACCCTTCCCTGGAGCTTTGATTGCCTCCCTGTAACCGCCATCTTCACATGCCCTGAGTTTTGATTGCCTCATTGCGACCGCCATCTTGACTTCTTTGACCCTGCCCTTCTTAACTTCGATTGCAATCCTTGCCATCCCTTTTCTTGACTTTTTTGGACCGGACAGAAAGCACAGATTATTGATTTAGTTCCTGGCAACCATTTGGGCTCTGCTCTCCCACCCCCACTCCCCACTCCTCTCTCTTTCTCTCCACCCCTGGGACTTTCCCTTGATCTGCTGGTGGCAAAAAAAACTCAAGAGTCACTTCCTCAAACTATTGCTCAAGAGGACTTGCTTCACGGTCAGTGAAGTCGGATTATAAGCGCCGAACTAGCAGTGAGACAGGAGGAAATTGGGGTCAGAGCTCACAGCTTTGCTCTGACGTCTTCGTTTTGAGCAAAGAACAACAGGCATGGAAGGGACCTTGGAGGTCGTCCAGTTCAGTGGTCACCAACTGGTGGCCCGTGAGAAAATTTTGGTGGTCCGTGGAAAAATTATTTGCATTTTTTTTTATATTGCACTAAATATTGCTTAACGCATTGCTTAACGCACTGTAAGCCGCCCTGAGTCTCCGGAGAAGGGCGGCATATAAATCAAATTAAAAAATATATATATATACTATTTATCTTTTTTAAAAAATTCATATTAGTAGTCCATGGGATTTAAAATTATGAATTTAGTGGTCCCTGAGGTCTTTTTTTTTTTTTTTATTTGATTTATATGCCGCCCTTCTCCGGAGACTCAAGGCGGCTTACAATGCGCTAAGCAATAGCCTTCATCCTTTTGTATATTTTATACAAAGTCAGTTTATTGCCCCCACAAACTGGGTCCTCAATTTACCTACCTTAGAAAGGATGGAAGGCTGAGTCAACCTTGAGCCTTGGCGAGATTCGAACCTGCAGTAATTGCAGGCAGCTGGTCTTAATAACAGGGTGCTTTAGACCACTGTACTACCAAGGGTACCAAGGTCTGAAAGGTTGGTGACCCCTGGTTTAGTCCAACCCAGTGGTGAAATGTAAATTTTGTTACTACCAGTTCTGTGGGTATGGCTTGGTTGGGTGGGTGGGTAATATGACTGAGTGGCCGCGGCCAACTTTTATTTTTTTACTTTTAAAACCATTTTTCTACAACCTCTTCGGCTGAAGAGGTTGTTAAAAAAATACTTTTAAAGCCTCTGACGATCCCAGCTGACTTGCCTGATCATCAGAGGCTTTTTCTTTTTACTTTTAAATGCATTTTTTCCTATAACCTCTTCGGCCGAAGAGGTTGTAGAAAAAATGCTTTTAAAAATTTAAAAAAAAAGCCTCTGATGATTGCACGGCTCAGCTGGGCAATGGGGGGAGGGGGGGCAGGGATTTTTGCTACTGGTTCTCCGAACCACCCGCCTCCATCGTTACTGGATCAGGCGATCCGGCCCGAACCGGGAGCATTTCACTCCTGGTCCAACCCCTTGCTCAAGCAAGAGATTCTAATCTACACCCTTCCTTTATGCATTGTACCAGCGGTTCTCAACCGAAATAATAATATTCCTTCAAGCCTTTGAGATGACTTCATGTCGTCGTCCTACCCAGAGGTCCACGGACCACTGGCTGAGTGTTCTGCCCCAGCTCCGGATTCCCGAGGATTTAGACACACACCATCGGTCCTTATCAAATTTATTAAGTAGCAAGAATAAACCAAAATCCGGCAAAAGTTGGCAACCAGCCCAGAAAGCAAGATACGATAAGACTTTTCCAAAAATGCTCTGATGATAATTACAAGTTGTTTCCAGCAAGAAACTTACTAACGGCAGGTGACTTAAATAGGCTAAGGGAGTGGCCAATTATCCTCAAGCCTTACTCTCGAGGAGACCTCCTCCTCCTGAGTAGCCACTGCTGCCTTTTGGCAGCCCTGCGTGCTCGAGCGTTGAGAAGAGGCTCCTCTACTTCACTCTCTCCACTTGAAGGAGCCTCTGCAGGTTCTGAAGGCCCTGGCTGAGTCTCTGCCTCTGGCACCACATCCTCTTCAGCCTCCTCGCTGTCCGACGCGAGCGCCGGCTGCGCCGGCTGCTGGCGCGACACCACACCAGCCTCCTTGTCGTCGGGATCAGCCACGATCCGCGCAGGCCGCTGGTGGGCCACAATACTGAGTGAGAATCACTGCCTTCTCCATTATCTATGTGGTACGTTCCCATAAAGTTTTTCAAAGTAGGATAATTTGAGCTTGGTCTTTTTACCTCTCGAGTGAGAAGGTTGAGTTGAGATGAACGATCCATTGATTTGTTTTCTTGGCCACCCACGGGGAAGTCCTCTCCTTGACATCAAAGGTCAAAGGCCGACTCATCCTTTCCTTCTTCTTTGAAGTTCAACTTTCACTTTCTGAGCGCATGGTAGGGAATCCCATGGCTTGCACATTTCTGATCTTTGGAGGTATGCAGACCAGTATCTGTAGAGATTCTCAGTCATCCAGGTCTTGGTTGTCCCAAAGGTGCTTCCTTGGTTTTTCTTTTGAAGACGTTTCGCTTCTCATCCAAGAAGCTTCTTCAGCTCTGACTGGATGGTGGAGAATGGAAGGGTTTATACCCCTTGTAGATAACTGGTCATTTGCATCCTTTTAGAGCAGTGTTTCTCAACCTTGGAAGCTTGAAGATGGGTGGACTTCAACTCCCAGAATCCCCCAGCCAGCGCTGCTGGCTGGGGGATTCTGGGAATTGAAGTCCACCCATCTTCAAGCTACCAAGGTTGAGAAACACTGTTTTAGAGGGTCGTTGAAGCACTTGGGGCAGTGGTGAAATGTAAAATTTGTTACTACCAGTTCTGTGGGCACCAGTTCTTGGTGGTGGTGGGGGGGGGCGGGGGGGTGTAATGTGACTGGGTAGGCGTGGCCAACTTTTTTTTTTTCCTTTACTTTTAAAAGCATTTTTTCTACAACCTCTTCAGCCAAGTAATAGTTTTTTAAAAATGCTTTTAAAAGCCTCTGACGATCAGGCAACTCAGCGGGGATCATCAGAGGCTTTTAAAGGCATTTTTTTTTCCTACAACCTTTTCGGCCGTAAAAAAAAAAAAAGCCTCTGATGATCGCGCGGCTCAGCTGGGCATGGGGAGGGGGGGAGGGAGGGGCAAGGATTTTTGCTGCCAGTTCTCCGAACCACCCGTCATCATCGCTACCGGATCGGGCGATCCGGTCCAAACCAGGAGCATTTCACCCCTGACTTGGGGGGGTTTATCTGTGTCCTCAGGAGTAGTGCGAATGGTTCCTGTAATCTGCCATTTTTTTTCCTCTGGAAATTGATTCCTGCTCCCACACCATTCAAAGGGTGTTCCTCCTAAATTGTAAAGCTAAATGTCTTTAGAGATTCTCAGTCATCCAGGTCATGGCAACTGGACTTTCTTAGTTTTTTTTTTTTTCTTTTGAGTGTTCCTCAACCTTTACAATTTTAAGATGTATGGACTCCAACTCCCAGAATTCCCCAGCTAGCCAGGGGGAAGTCGAGAAATTTACCCTGTGGTTTGCTAGTCTGTTTCCCCACTCTCACTCCTACCTTAAAAAGATATCCAGTAAAGTATGACTCCTAAACAGCACATGGCCTCTGGGTTTGGAAACAAACTACCGTTAGTCGTCATTTAGTGACCATCTCCTTCGGCAACTATTCTGACAGTGATGGAGAAAATAACTCTGCAACCATTCCTCGCCTTTACAACCTTCCCGGGTCTTTCAAAGCAAAAGCAAGCTGAAGTCAGATCTGAAAATTGTGATTTTTTTTTGCACTTGGAGGGTGCTCCATTTAATGACAAGTGGCTAATTATGGTCGCTAAGCGAGGACTCCTTCCGTTTTGTTAGCTTCCGTAAATGTGTTTATCTGCGGTGGCTTGTTGTTGTTTTTACAATGGATGGTTTCAACGGTTGTTTCGATGTTTTTATGTTGTGAGCCGCCCAGAGTCGCTGGATACGAGATGGATGGCAAATAAAACTTCATTTATTTCATAAACTTCCTTTATTTTCAGTAAATGCATGCATGAATGCGTGCATGAATGAATGCATGATTAAATGAATGAAATTTTGTTTGCAAAGGCAAGCTGTGCCCTTCTAACAGAAGTCTGCCTGCATTTCTTGCAAGCTGGCGAGCTTACTGGGAAGTGGGGAGAGGGCAGCCTTTGCTACATCTTTGGGCTGCGCCTGCCCCCACGTGGGTCCCATTGCACCCCCCCACCACCATCATTTCCTTCTCTGTTTCTTATAAACCTTGTTTTGGACCCAGTCCCCCCCTTCTCCCCGCCTTTTCTGAGAAACCTCCGGCTGCATGAAGGCGAGCAGGTGTAAGAGATGCGGTTTGATCATGGGAACTCAGCTGGTTGGTTTCCTCCGAATTGGGTGAGTAAGAACCGTTGAGACGAAGCTGGGGTGCCGGGCAACGGCGTGGCCGTGGTTCCAGGGAAGAGCACCAAGGACAGTGGGTTTCTGCCTTGTGGGCATCTCGGTTTGTTGTGTTGGGTTGACTTCCTCTGCAAACGGGTGCCATTACCCAGAAATGACCCCCGTAGCCCAAACAGCTTTCTCCGCCCATCAAGCGTGGCGAGACACAGCGCATGAAAACGTCTGTTCCTGCAGCGGAAACCTTGAGTTCTGCATGTTCAATTCAGGGGTTGAATTGAGATTGAGATTGAGATTTTTATTTATTTATTTTTTGTTGTTGTGGCCGCCGATCTGAGCAAGTGACACTGGGTGGCAAACCGCCTTAAAAACAAAATGCAGCGCTTTTTCTTTTTCATTTCTTGCACTTTTTCTCTTTTTAAAATCTCTTTCTTTACTTTTTTTCTTGCTTACGTTAGATTAATTGGCATAACTTTTTTAAAAAAAGTTTTAATAAAAACTCTAGAGGGGTTTGGGTATGTCGAGGTGCTTCTGCTGTGTGTAAATAAACCCTTTAGAGAAAAACCCAGCGGCTTTAACGGAATACCGTAAATTTAGCTGCCATTAAGGCACCCAACTAGAAAGTGGAAGATTGTGAGTTCTAGTTCTGTCTTAGGCATGAAAGCCAGCTGGGTGACTTTGGGCCAATAATCAGGAGAAGGTGAATTCCTTATACATGGCCAGTCCTTTTCTCTCAGACCAGCCCATCTCACAGAGTTGTTGTTTTGGGGAAAATAGAAGGGAGGAGGTTGGATTAGATATGTTCCCCATCTTGAGTTAATTTTAGAAATAATAAAGATAGGAAAGAAAGAAAGAAAGAAAGAAAGAAAGAAAGAAAGAAAGAAAGAAAGAAAGAAAGAAAGAAAGAAAGAAAGAAAAGGAAGAAGAAAGAAGAAAGAGGAAGGGAGGGGAGGAAGGAAGGAAGGAAGGAAGGAAGGAAGGAAGGAAGGAAGGAAGGAAGGAAGGAAGGAAGAAATAGAAGGAGGGAGGGAGGGGAGAAAATAAGAAAGAAAGGAAGAAAGAAGAAAGAAAGAAAAAGAAAGAAAGAAAAGAGGAGGGAGGGAGTGGAAGAAAGAAAGAAAGAAAGAAAAGAAAGAGAAGGAGGGAGGAGGAGGGAGAAATAAGAAAGAAAGGAAAGAAAGAAGAAAGAAAGAAAAAGAAAGAAAGAAAGAAAGAAAGAAAGAAAGAAAGAAAGAAAGAAAGAAAGAAGAGAGAGGGAGGGAGGGAGTGGAGAAAGAAAGAAAGAAAGAAGAGAAAGAAAGAAAGAAAGAAAGAAAGAGGAAGGAGGGAGGGAGGGGAGAAGAAAAAGAAAGGAAAGAAAGAAAGAAATAGGAAGGAGGAAGGGAGGGGAGAAGGAAGGAAGGAAGGAAGAAGAAAGAAAGAAAGAAAGAAAGAAAGAAAGAAAGAAAGAAAGGGAAAGAAAGAAAGAAAAGAAAGAAAGAAAGAAAGAAAGAAAGAAAGAAAGAAAGAAAGAAAGAAAAGAAAAGAAAAGAAAAGAAAAGAAAATCTCCATGTATTCCCTGGCAGTGATCAGCCCCTTTTCCTTCCCCTATTTCCAGACTCCTTTACACTTGGCAGTCATCGTAGCTCAGCCTTCCCTGGTGAAACTCCTGCTGTCCCACGGCGCATCCCCCATGGTGCTGGACCGGCATGGACAAACGGCTCTGCATCTGGCTTGCGAACACAGCAGCCTCCGTTGCCTGCAGGAGTTGTTGGAAGGATGTCCCGCCACACTGGATCTCGAGGCCCGGAATTTCGAGGGTGAGCATGGAAGCCTAATAGGATGACATGATGAAATAAGATAAATTCAAAATTCCAGACCACTTAAGACAGTGTTTCTCAACCTTGGAAGCTTGAAGATGGGTGGACTTCAACTCCCAGAATCCCCCAGCCAGCAGCGCTGGCTGGGGGATTCTGGGAGTTGAAGTCCACCCATCTTCAAGCTTCCAAGGTTGAGAAACACTGTCTTAAGAGTTTGTAGTAGAGTCCTCGACTTACAACCATTCGTTTACTGACCATTCAAAACGCTACTGAAAGAAGGGACTTGATGACCAGTCTTCACACTCAACAACCATCATAGCATTCCCCGGTAGTCACGCGATCAAAATTTGGGGGCATGTATGTACAACAATTGCAGCATCTTTACCTCATGCGTTCGCCATTTGCGGCCTTCCCAGCCGGCTTACGATGAGCAAGTCAGTGGGGGGAGGGGGGTGGAACGCCGGATTCACTTAACGACCATGTGATTCATTTTACAACGGGGGCAAAAAAAAGGGTCGCAAAATAGAGTGTGACTCACTCAACAACCGCCTTGCTTAACGATTGAAATTCGAGTCCCATTTGCGGTCAGGCAAAAACTACCTGTACGGACTTCATGGGATCTGGGAAACCATCACCGTGAGGTTTTGTACCCAAAATATGATATTCAAAATTATTCCTTGAGATACTAGTTAATATCAAAACCCTACAAAACTAACTACTCTTTATTTTTTCCGTGATGGGAGTACAGGTAGACCTCGATTTACAACCCTTCATTTAGTGACCGTTCAAAGCTACAAAAGCACTGAAAAAAAGGAACTTATGACCACGTTTTTCACATGACTGTTGTGCATCCCCATGGCCACGTGATCAAAACTCAGCCTTTTGGCAACTGACTCATATTTATGACGGTTGCAGCATCCTGGGATCCAGTGGTGGGTTCCTCCGGTTCAGCCCGGTTCTCCCGAGCCGGTAGCGGTGACGATATGACGTCACCGAACCGGTTCTGCCGCCGCCCCCGCCCCACCCCCCACCCCCACCCGTGCCCCACCCTCCCACCCCCCACATTATTCTTACCTTTTATTTGGCCCCACCCCCAATCTATTGCTGCCTAGATCAGTGCCTGCAAAAATACATGAATAGATCAGTGCCTGCAAAAATACATGAGTAGATCAGTGCCTGCAAAAATACATGAATAGATCAGTGCCTGCAAAAATACATGAATAGATGAGTGCCTGCAAAAATACATGAATAGATCAGTGCCTGCAAAAAATAAATGGGTAGATCGGTACAGCTCTGCAAGCAGTTAAAAGCCTGGTAGACCAGTACCTCTGCTAAATCCTAAATAATTGTCACGTGATCATCAAGCCACGCCCACAAAATAAGCCGTGCCCACAGAACCGGTAGTAAAAAAATTAGAACCCACCCCTGCCGGGATCATATAATCCCCTTTTGCGAACTTCTGACAAACAAAGTCAACAGAGAAGCCAGCTTCACTTAACAACCGTGTCCCTAACTTCACAACTGCAGTGATTCACTTAAAAACTGTAGCAACAAAAGTTGTAAAATGGGGTCAAACTCAATTGCCTCACTTAGCAACAGAAATGTTGGGCTTATTGGTGGTCGTAAATCGAGGGCTACCTACATTTGGAATCATTGACAAAATGACAAATGGACAAGAACTGTTTTTTTGGGGGGGGGTTGTTTTGGAAATGTCGCTATTGTGTTCTCCTTTTTGTCTTTGACTAGGTTTTACCCCGTTGCATTTAGCTGTTGCATCTTGTAGCCGTGACATCGTTCTTGCTTTGCTGGATCACGGGGCAGATGTAGATGCTGTGGTAAGCATGGAGTTCAAGAGGCCAAGCGCCGGGGAAATCGGGAGATTCAGGCAGTTCAATGAGTATAAAGATTTATTGCAAGCTTAAACTGTCTACAAGAATCCGTCCAACTAGCCCTTAAGGGAAATGAGCGGGAGATAAGAAAGGCGTTCTAAGAGTGGGCTGGACTTAGATCTCTTGCGGGCATGCAGGGACTGGTGACTTATGACATGTTTGACTCCTCCCTCGGGCTCAGCCTGGTCATCTCTTACAGATATTGGGTATTGTTCATTTTGACGATGTGGGAAGGAGGAAATGAAGTGGGGAAATTGCATGAAAACTCCGCTGATATCTGCATTGGGTTGCAAGCTATGAATAATGAAGGATGAAATGTAGAGACCTGTTGGTGAACCGTAAAGTTACACGATATTTTTGCATGTACGGTTTTAGTGAAACTCGGGATGGTTCAATGAAACTCGGGAGGTGTTCTGATTAATGGGAAAGTTTGTTTTAGAAAAGTAAACAAAAAGAACGTTAAATGAATAAGCGGAGGAAAAATTCCTTTTTCATTCCGGGAAAGAGGTTGTGGAATAGGATGTTACAATTTTAAACAACTGAATTGCGGAGGATTGGAATTTTAACAAGGCAATGTTTGAGTAGGCGGAGGAAAGGACTTAAGAAGGAAAACAGACCCATAAAAAGGCCCACGATAGACTTGAGTGGCTGCATTTTGGTGTGATGCCATCTTACTCTGATAATATTTATCAGCGGTTAATGAATTTGCAATAAAGTTAAAGCTTTTTCCTTCACATTTTGCTCTGTTTTTCTAGCTTGCCTATTGGCAAACTTGCATCTTGCACTAGTGTGCAAGATTGGGAGTTTGCTATACAACAGAATTGTATTGGAATATAGTAAAATTATTATTTTTTCCATGAGAACTTTACCTGTTTCTCAGTTATTGGTTTCCAACAGTGTTTCCCCACTGTTTCTACGGGAATTCAGTCTTCAGAGCTTTGGGTAATTTTTTTATGAGGACTTAATGAATTTGAAATAAATTGCTCGTGTGCAAGATTGGGAGTTTGCTGTACAACAGAATTACATTGTAATAGAGCAAAAATATTATTTTTTCCATGAGAATTTAAGCCCTCATATGTTGTCTGTTTCAGAGTTATTGGTTTCCAACCGTGTTCCCCACTGTTTGTATGGGAATTCAGACTTCAGAGCATCACAGAAGGCTGTGCTAATGTTAACTACTGTTTTTTTTAAAGATAAATGGAGGAAAGGGAAAGAATCATGGTCTCAGAATTGTAAATTTCATTAATGTTCCCAACCTAATGTCAATTGCAACCAACCCTGATTGACTCCTCTTTTTAGGACATAAAGAGTGGCCGATCGCCGCTACTTCATGCTGTGGAGAACAATAATTTGGATATGGTGGAGTTGCTACTACAGGTAAGGATGGTTTGTCTTTCTTCAGAAAATCCTCTTTTAGCCTCAAACTATTTTTTAAAAAAAGAAACACAAGAAAAATGCAGTGACAACAATTGTTCAGTTCCAATAAACAATAGTTTAGCACAAGTTATATAGAAGATTAAGTTAAAGCAAGCAAAACAGAGTTTGTCAAACTTGCCCACTTTAAGCTGTGTGGACTTCGACTCCCAGAATTCCCCAGCCGGCCATCCTGGGAGTTAAGATCCACACGACTTAAAGTAGTCAAACCTGAGAAAACACTGACAAACTTCCCACTTCCCCAAACCATAATTTATTTTGTTATCTGGGTCAATGAATATAATTGTCATAAACCATGTAGCGATACCGCAACTCAGTAACCATGACTTGAAATGCTGCCTGTTTGTAACAAACCATTGTTAACATTGACCAAGGTTCTCGCAGTGTGGCAGAAAAGTTGTAAACCCGCTTTTCAGCACAGGAAGGGGGTGTTGTAAACCAATCCAGCCTCGAATCGTAAGGATACGGCAAATACCAAATTTAACCCCGAGCAAATATTTTCCGTTCCATAAGGCCCGTCTTAGCTTTTCATGTCCTCAAACGGCCCTGAAATCTTTGCAAGCCTGCATGTGGAATTTCTAAAACCTCGGTTGTTGTGCATCCTTAAAGTATGTGTGTGTGTTGTGCCCATTTTACAGCACGGCGCCAACGTGAATGCCCAATCCTACGGGGGCAATACGGCACTCCACACAGCTAGCGGAAGGGGCCTGTTGGACATGCTGCGTCTTCTGGTGAGGAACGGGGCGGATGGCAGCCTGAAAAATTACCACAACGACACCGCCTTGATGGTAGCAAAGAACAAAAAGGTGAGAGATGATACTACGGAGTGAATTTGCAGACGTCTGATTAAGAACCACAGTACAGGTGGTCCTCAACTTAACCACGGCTCGTTTAGCGACCGTTTGAAGTTACAACGGCACTGGAAAAAGTAACTTAGGACCATTTTTTCACGGTCACGTGCCCAAAATTTAAACGCTTGACAACAGACTCACATTTATTTATTTATTTATTTTATTTATTTGACACAAATTTATATGCCGCCCTTCTCCCAAAGGACTCAGGGCGGCAAACACAAGCTAGAAACATACAATGATAAAAGAAGAATCTAATTAAAACCAATTAAAATCAAATAATAAATAATAATTATGACGGTTGCAGTGTCCCGGGGGTCACGCGATCCCCTTTTGCGACATTCTAACAAACTCAGGCTTCAAGAGAAACACAAAGCAATTATTTTCTCTCTGGGACAAAGGACAGGAAGCGAAAGTGGTGTTTACAAGGGGAAGGACGTCATTCAGGTTGGACTGGTTAAACCGTTTCCTCAAAGTTAACAACGGGGGATACGAGAGGCGCATCCTTGGTGTAAATGTAGTGGGGCTTTCGTAGGTGATTTCCCCCATGGATGGTGACCCGGGTTCATTACAGGCAGTCCTCGGATTTAATGACCACCGTTGAGTTCAAAATGTCTGTGGCTAAGCGAGACCTTTAGTAAGTTTTGCCCACTTTTCTCACCACCGTTGTTAAGCGAAGCACTGCAGTTGTTAAATCAGTAACGCGGTTGTTAAATGAGTCTGGCTCCCCCCCCGGCTGACTTTGTCTGTCGGAAGGGATCACATCACATGACCCTGGGACACATCAACCGTCATAAATGTGAGTCAGTGACGGTAGGGGTCAGTGGTGGGTTTCAAATTTTTTTACTACACACTCACACCTGTGGTCACAGGATCGCAATTTGGGCACGCAGCAACCGGCACGCAATTAAAACGTTGCGGCGTTCCGCAATCCCAGGATGGCCCTCTCCGACTTTCCTTCCCAGCCAGCTTCCGATCAGTGAAATCAATGGGGAAGCCTGCAGGAGGTTGAAGGTGTGGTCACGTGACCTCACGCTTAAGGAACCTGTGGTAATTCGCTCAGCGACGGCGACTGGGAGCACCAGATACAGTCTTTTCGGTAGAAACAGTACAACCTATCACCATCTCCTCCACTTTCTGATTTTCAGGCGATCGACATCCTGAGAGGAAAAGCTGTTCGGCCTATTCCTCACCCCGAAAACAGCCATGATGGATCGTCCCCCACAGTCAGCGCTGCGAGCTCTCCTGGCCTTCGGACCCACGGCCGTAAGTAACTTCCTCCCGAAATAGGCAGCCTGGATTTCGTGCCATGCTTCAAACTGCCTGCTTGGTCTTGATTAAAAACTGGGTGGGAAGGGAAGACAGCTCTGGATACGGTCCTTGACTTACAACCATTCATTAAGCGATCGTTCAAAGTTACAATGGCCCTGAAAAAAAGTGACTTATGACCAGCTTACAATCATCACAACATCCTCACAATCAAGTGATCAAAATTCATGCTTAGCCTGAGGTCATGGGATCTTCATTTGTGACCTTCCCAGCTGGCTTTCCAACAAGCAAAGTCAATGAATCATGCAGTCGTTAAATGGATTCATTTAACGACGGCATGGTTCACTTCCCCACTGCAGTGATTCTCGTAAGTACCATGAAAAAAAAAAAAAAAAAATGCAAAAATGGACGTGAGTCACTTAACAGCCATCTTGCTTAGCAACGCGATTCTGCCCATTGTGGTTGTAAGTAGAGGACTCCCTCTATTTTGGAGCTTAGAATTTAGGAACGAGAAAAGATTCTATTTTGCTCCTGAACCAATCCAGCTTTCCCATGAGTGGGAACAGCGACGAGAAGAAGAAAGATGGACCATGTTGATGTTCCTCAAAACAATTTGCTCCCAAGAACAATATACATGAATTAATTCCGATTTAGTGTATGGTAAATCCTTCTTCCATCTCAGAGGTGTCCAACCTTGGCAACTTTAGGACCTGTGGACTTCAGTTCCCAGAATTTCCCAGCCAGCAACATGGGCAGAAGAATTCTGGGAGTTGAAGTCCAGAGGTCTTCACAAGGGAATTCAAGGGAAGTCCACAAGTCTTCACAAGGGAATTCTGGGAGTTGAAGTCCACAAGTCTTCGAAGTCGCCAAGGTTGGACACCCCTGCTCTACAGCAACCCGGCCCATAAAATTTAATCTGTATCGATTTAATCATCAATGGATTGCCGTTCTAACAGTGCTTTTATCTCCCTTCAGACATGCTCCATGCGTCACCTGATTCCTGCTCAACCATCCCCAGCCCTGATCAGACCCCAAAGCCTCATAGAGCAAGCCATTCTCCCAACACAGCCACTCTGAGGCCAGAAAGCATTATCGTGACGAATGGACCTTCGACCTCTGCCCCGTTGCCTGGCATGGAATTGGACAGAAGTTCCCATTCATCCACCCTGGAGCAGCCGATGGGCTATCCGAGATCCTCCAAGGTTCTCCATCACGAGAACGTGACCGATCCTGCCTTCCACACTGCCTTGTACCCTTTTTCTCCTTCCAGCCCGCATGTCTCCTCCCATCCTCTCCAGTTGCTTCCGATAAGCCTGAGCCATCCGGTCATATCCATGCCTCCGAGGACACTGGCCAGTCGGATGTCCATGAGGTATCCAGGGATGGACCAGCCACAAAGGCTACTGGGCTCGGAAGGTCCGGCGAGTCTCGGCTGCGAAGGGCAGTGGCTGCACAGCAGTGACGGCGGCCCCGGTGGCAGCTGACGAGAGGAAGTCCGGAGGCCTTCAGCCGCTTTGTGAGACAGGAAGATTTCTCAAGGACTATTTCACAAGGCAGAAGAATGAGTCAAGGCGTTGCTGCTCCCGTGGGTTTCCAGCCTGACATTTCTCCATATTTGCTGCAGACTTGAAACTACCTTCATTTTCAAATTGACATGTAGCAGAGCCCAGCAGCACGATGCGAATATATATCTGCTGAATATAACTCCGCATTAGCGACAGGGGAGGGCATCCGGCCAGTAAACACTCAGCTCCGTTCCGTTGCCCAGACAGACTCTACCCCGCAAGGGATTATGGGGTCATTAAAAGATGATGATGTAGCAGAGCCCAGCCAGCCTGAGATGACCCTTCAGACGTCAAAAACTCAACACTGGCCTTCTTCATCCAGCGGCATGACCCTCTCTCCCAATCTCTTTGAATGTACCTCACACCACTGTCTGAGCAGAAGGTGGGTTGGACCCATTTGGGGGTGAGTGTCAGGGGATGTGCAATGGCACACAGTGGTTAAAGACACAGAGTTTGTCAGCTGGGAAACTTGACGGGCTTCGAGACCCGAGCACCGAGCACCGCGCGATGCGTAGGCTCCCGTTCCTTGCTCCAGCTCCTGTCCACCTCGCTGTTTGAAAGCATGCAAATGCGAGTAGATAAATAGGTACCACTTTGGGTTTGGAAAATAACAGCCTTCCGTGCGCCTTTGTCATACAGCTTTGTCATACAGCTATGCTGGCCACATGACTACGGAAGACCACGTGTCTTCGGGCAACACTGGTTTCCTTGGCAACAGAGATGGGCACCATGCCCTAGAGTCGGACACGACTGGACAGGGAAACTTTTATCTTTTGTTCAGGGATCATGTTTTAGCACAAGGAAGGGGCCGCTGTGAAATTGACAGCCACTTCTCTCAGCTCAGGGCCAGACGTGACTTTTGACAAAACGCCGGAAGCGTTGCTCGAGTGGTGTTCTTTGTATTTAATAGGCATTAATTTAACTTGAGTGAAGTTAGTACAGTTGCTGTGTGTGTATTTAAGCCTTGTGGCGTGTATTGTATTAAGGATTGCAATATAATGATGGCACCTTCTATGGGGTTTCGGGTGGGCTGTTTACAGGTTGAATTGTGTACAGGGACATCTGCAGTTGGGGTGGAAGTTTGCAGATGTGAGACTCTTCCCCCAAGGCACCCCAAATTGCACGCGTGTGTACAGGTAGTCCTCGACTTACGACTGCAATGGAGCCCCAAAAAAATTCCGTTGTTAAGCGAGACCTTTGTTAAGTGAGTCTTGCCCCTGTTTCACGGCCTTTCTCGTGAAGCGAATCACAGCTGTTCATAAATCGATAACCCGGTTGTTAAGTGAATCTGGCTTCCCTCTTGACTTTTGTTTGTCAGAAGGTCGTCAAAAGGGATCACGTGACACCCCCCCCCACCCGCCCGGGACACTGTAACCGTCATAAATATGAGTCAGTTGCCAAGCATCCGGATTTCGACCGGGTGATCATGGGGAGGCTGCAAAGGTCGGAACGGTGAAACGTGGTCATAAACAGTGGTGGAATTCAATTTTTTTTTACTACTGGTTCTGTGGGCGTGGCTTGGTGGGCGTGGCAGGGGAACAATACTGCAAAATCCCCATTCCCTTCTCACTCCAGAGGAAGGATACTGCAAAATCCCCATTCCCTCCCCACTCCAAAAGGATACTGCAAAATCCCATTCCCTCCCCACTCCAGGGGAAGGATACTGCAAAATCCCCATTCCCTCCCTACTCCAGGGGAAGGATACTGCAAAATCCCCATTCCCTTCTCTCTCCAGAGGAAGGATACTGCAAAATCCCCATTCCCTCCCTACTCTAGGGGAAGGATACTGCAAAATCCCCATTCCCTCCCTATTCCAGGGGAAGGATACTGCAAAATCCCATTCCCACCGCACTCTGGAGCCAGCCAGAGGTGGTATTTGCCAGCTCTCCGAACTACTCAAAATTTCCACTACCGGTTCTCCAGAACCTGTCAGAACCTGCTGAATTTCACCCCTGGTCATAATTCATGTTTTTCAGTGCTGTTTTAACTTTGAATGGTCCCTAAATGAACTGTTGTAAGTTGAGAACTACCTGTATTTAACACACATAGCATTTGTGGGGATCAAATGCCAATTCCTTGTCCCAGCATCATCTGGGACATCTTGGTGGACAAGGAAACTGAGCGTGATCAATCAGGAAACTAGGTATTCCCAGAGTAAAAATCCTATTTTCTTTAAACCCCTTTATTTTAATTCCCCCCATCCCCAATGTTGACTCCTTTTCACTATCCTTGATCTTATCCGCTTTCAACATGATCAAAATTGAAACAACCAGCAGTAGCTACAGCTAAGGGGGCATGAAAGAAAGAAAGACCTCAAGAGAGAGTGCAGAGAAGAACAACAAAGATATTTGGGGGTCTGGATGAATTACGGTAGTGGCCAAAATTGTGGAAATCTTTTGGGAAAAGTGTATTTTTGAGGTTTGATGGCGAATAACATCACTTTCAAGATAATCCTATTCCACTGATGGAATGGCCGGGGAATAGCCCAAACCTTCTTAACCCAATTGAAAATCTATGGAGCCGACTAAAGAAACTGGTTAGTCAGAAGCCACCCAGCAATAAAACCCAGTTAATAGAAGCCATCCTTCAATCTTGGCTTCATATGATAACAGCTGCAGAACTAAAAGACTTGGTTCACTCCATGGGAAGACATTGTAAGGCTGTCATTCACGCTAAAGGTTACCCAACTAAGGATTAACTGACATGATAATTTTTGTCGATCTCGTTTTTTCTATGGTGATCATTTTTGTATATCTCGTTTTTTTCTACGTGTTTCACCTCTCTTCTTTCTACTGTAACTGCTATTCTAATAGCAAATCCTTCATAACAGTTATTGCATTACATTCTTGATTAAATTATCTTTCCATGGATATATAATTTTATGGTACTATTCCCCAAAAAAGGGGGTGTTATTAGCTAGTGTTAGAAAATACACTTTTCCCAAAAGGTTTCCACAATTTTGGCCACTACTGTATATGATGAATGACTGAGGGGATTACGTATGTCTAGTCCAGTGTTTCTCAACCTTGGTAGCTTGAAGATGGGTGGACTTCAACTCCCAGAATCCCCCAGTCCACCCATCTTCAAGCTTCCAAGGTTGAGAAACACTGCTCTAAAAGGATTCTGGGAGTTGAAGTCCACCCATCTTCAAGCTACCAAGGTTGAGAAACACTGGTCTAGTCTAATAAAGAGAAGGATAGCTGTCTTCCAGTATCAAAATGGCTGCCACAAAGGAGAGGGGGAGGGGACAATCTGTTCTCCAAAGCACCTGAAGGCAGGACAAGAAGGAACAGACGGAAGCTTATCAAAGTGAGACCCAAGCTAGAACTAAGGGGAAATTTCCTGACAGTTAGAAGAATTAATCAGTGGGACAACTTGCTTCCAGAAATTGTGGGTGTTCACCATCACTGGAGGTTTGCAAGAAGAGACCAGAAATCCATTTGTCTGGAATGGTATAGGGCATGGGTGTCAAACTCAAGGGATCCCTAAGAAAACTCAGGGGTGCTTAGAACTGGCCCGTGGTCCTGCCCTGAAAACAGTGAAAGACTAGCCCACAGTGACTCTGCCAGCGAAAACGTGCGGCCCGCCCACCCGGGCTCTGTTTCCGCTGGCAGAGGGCAGAAGGAGGCCGTCGCGGCCAAAAACGGAGCCCGGGTGAGCCGTGTGCGGCCTCCCTGAGCTCAGTTTTTATTGGTAGAGGGCTGCAGGAGGTCGTCGCGGCTGAAAACGGAGCCTCAATGAGTGACGTCGAGCTGGCCACACACACCCTGGCCATGGGCCCCCCCAGGTGAAAGACAACCCTGAATGAAATCGAGTTTGACACCCCTGGCATAGGGTCTCCTGTTTGAGCAGGGGGTTGAAGACCTCTAAGGTCCTTTCCGACCTTGTTATTCTATGCCCTATGAGTCCTCCTGGAAATTGCCAAAACTGCTAGCGTCGGTGGTGCGGTGTCTCCGACCAATGGCGAGACTGTGAATTGCAACAGACGTGAGGCAAAAATGGAGCCAGAGCCAGGAGGAAGCCAACTCTTTCGAAGTCGATCTTTTTCCCGAGAAGACCCAGGAAGGCTGACTCATTTTTTCTCAGTTCTCCCGGCTCTTTCGTCACCCACAAGGTTGAAGAAATAAGGTTGAGCTGCCCTGAAATTGGAATGGGGGAAGGACCAGCACAATAAAACGTCTGGAAAAGAAGGGGAGACTTGGGGGATTTCCAAAACACCGGCTAGATGGAATATTGGGTGCATTCGAAGCCGTGAAATTTCAGAAACTCCCAGGCTACGATCCTAGTCATCGGAGGAAGTTGTAGAGCTGGAGTGTGAGTCAGTGCGGTTGCGATGATTGGAAAGTAATTTAAAAAAAAACAAAAAACGGAATGGCTGTACGTGGGAGAAATAGGGACGCCCTGATATGAAGTCAGTGACCTCTTCACCACGGCGTCCATTTTGTATGCAGCGGATTCTAGATTCAACATCTCCGGGAAGCCGTGGGAAACTGAAATTCTGGAGAACGGTGGATAAGTTATATGTATGGCAAGGTCGACTCCATCATCCCAGGCCAAAAGTAACTTAAAAGGTTGAATCTTGGCAACTGGAATTTGTTAACCTGAGACGTTTCGTTGCTCATCCAAGCAACTTCATCAGTCAAAATAAAAACATAAATAAATAGGCAGAAAGTTGTTGGAATGTACCGACTCTTGCCACACCGACTTCAACGGTTTCTCTCCAAAATGAATTGCAATTTGTCAATGTAGACTCAATCACCCAGGCCAAAAGTACCTAAAAAGTTGAATCATGGCAACAGGACCAGAATTGTTTAATTTGTTAATCTGAGACATCTCGCTGCTCATTCAAGCAACTTCATCAACGGCTAAGTTATAATGAAACGGATGGCTAGGCTGATTGGCTATTCCCTTCGCGCATTCCTTCCATCTGGGTAGGGCTAAAAAGGGCCCTTAATTACAGTTGGCATCTTGGCTTCACTGGGTTGTCCATCTTGGGTTATCCTGTGAAGAATTGCCTTTTGGGATGGCAGTCCTATTTGGTAACAATAAATAGAGGCTAGTGTGCCCAATCTCTGCAATGTTAAAATACGTGGACTTCAAGTCCCAGAATTCCCCAGCCAGCATGCCTGGATTTCCAACTCCCAGAATTTCTAGTTAGCACGCACGGACTTCAACTCTCCAAATTCCTAAATCAGTTTGTATGGACTTCCAACTCCCAGAATCTCCCTATTCAGTACGCATGGACCTCAGCTCCAGAATCCCCCAGTCAGCATGCATGGATTTCAACTCCCAGAATTCCCCAGCCACTATACTATCTAGGGCAGCGTTTCTCAACCTTTGGTAGCTTGAAGATGGGTGGACTTCAACTCCCAGAAACCCCCAGCCAGCAGCGCTGGCTGGGGAATTCTGGGAGTCGAAGTCCATCCATCTTCATGCTTCCAAGGTTGAGAAACACTGATCTAGGGAATTCTGGGAGTCGAAGTCCACACCTCTTAACGTTGCCAAAATTGGGGGAATCGCTGGGCTAGCTAGGCAGACCAAGGATTTGTCTCATTTAGTGCCGTGTCTTCTGACTTTTCTAACTTTTCTGCTCTCTAAGCAACCCTTCCCTTCCCTTAAATAAATAGCGTCTGTCCTTTGGATGTATTTTGATACTTGAAAAAAAAATAAGATCATCGGAGGAGGCCTTGTGTTTATAGTTGAAATTTGCCAATAAAATATTATTTTTTTCTACTTTCACAGCTGTGCGGGTGTGTTTTCTTCTCATGGAAAGAAAGGAAGAGCAGCCCCAGGGGATTGAAATGATGCAACCTTAGGGGTTTTCTCTTCTTTTTTTTTCTTTTTTTAGCAGAAAAGCAATTCTGTGAATTCACACCCTCTCTGCTAGTTCACTGGAACTGGACTCTTTTGAGGATGCCGCGCGTCATTCTGTGAGCACAAATGCTTGCCGAAGCATTTTGAGACATTTGAATAACCTCTTATTCAGGGCCCATGCAAATCCTTAATCTGTCA